AACACAAACACCCGGTAGTAGACCGCTTTACCGAGTCCGCACACTCGGTAACTTCAGACACTCGGTAAAACTACAATTTTACCGAAGGGGCACACTCGGTAAAAACAGACACTCGGTATTGAGGTGCCACGTCACCTAGTATACCAACCGTGCGCCAAACGGCGTCACGGCATGACATGTTTACCGAGTGTAGAAGTATTTGCACTCGGTAATAATAAAGTTTTACCGAGTGTAAGTGCACAACACTCGGCAAAGACTATCTTTTACCGAGTGTATTGGCGCAACACTCGGTAAAATCCAACCAAATTTCTTGTTTTTTCCTTCATTCTTTTTCCTCTATCCACATATGATATTTAGTACTCCATTCCAAAATATGGTGTTTATTTCGATTTATTTACTATATTTCACAAAATTTTCATTCTTTATGATAATTAGGTACATATCGTGTAAATTTAATTGTAATAATTAAAATCGAACTCGATAAATCACAAGATTGGAAGAATTAACATTGAAGCATACATCTATGTTATAGAAAAATTTTCATAACGTTTGGAAGTATTTTTACATTAAATCATTTGCCGAACCGGTACATCTCCCAAAGAGACGCTAAACATTCACAATGACGAGTAGGATTTCTTTTAAGAGTGAAATTCAACATTATGATTTGAACTTGGAATTTTTTAGATAGTAAATAGATGACATGAAATAGTTCATGTGAAAGTTTGGTGAATTTTAGGATTAAATTGGCATTTTTTCATTTTTGTTTTGCATGAAATAATGGATACTTTTTTACCGAGTGTGACCTCAAACACTTTCGGTAAAGGTTAGCCATGGCCCACCTGTATGTTTACCGAGAAAAGTCAGAGATCTGGGCACTCGGTAAACATGTACCGTGCCCACATGTTATTGGGTTGCGGTGTACATTTTACTGCGAAAGTGCCGTAGATCTGGGCACTTTCGGTAAACATGTACCAGCCCACATGTAATTGGGCTGCGGTGCTTGAGTTTACCGAAGTGCAGTATATCTAGGCACTTTCAAATAAGCAGAGGCATTCACTTAGCCGTTTCTCCCTCAAATCGTGCAGACACACACACACGCACGCTGCCGCAGATCCCCGCTTGCACCGCCGCTGTCGTCAAGGCATGGCGCCTCCCGCCGTCCCTCAAGACTTGCGCCGCGCCTCCCGCCAAGGCGCGCTCACGCCGACGCCGGCGCCTCCCCACCGCCGCGGCCGCCTCCTCCCCTCCACGCCGTCGCCTCCTCCCTCCACCGTCGTCCAGAACTGCCGCAGCATGTGGAAGGAAGGCGCAAGCGGTGGAGAAGGACTACGACGCGGTTGAAGCGCCGACTCGACGCCGTCAAGGCCGACAACGACGCCTCCTCTCCCACAACAAGAAGCTCCCGGGCCGACAACGACGCCCTCCTCCCCTCCACCACCGCCGCCGCCGGGCGGTCCCCACAACCGCCGCCACCGGGAAAGGAAGGGCTGCAACCTCATCCATTGCCGAGGTTTGTTGCTAATCTATCTTCTCAGATTGCAATTTCAGTTTTCATGCATACCGGTAAATGCCAATTTTCATATGTTTGCTGCTTTGGTGTTAATTGTTGTATATGAATTTGCAACCGGAGCTTGAAACCTATATTCATGTTATACTCCATGTCCCCACCATGTTATAAAATGCTTTTAGTGTGAGATGTGTTTTAGCCAATGGGGTTCCTATATCCTCTAAAATTGGTCATCGACACATCCTTTTTACCCTGACTGAAACGCCATCTAATTCATTGTGGTCACTCATTTTTGGTCAACTTATTCCTCAGTTAGTGAATATTTAGCAGAACTGAATAAATTCAATGATTCAAGTATTCAACTAGTAATTTGACATGGATTCAACGTAATATTGAAGGACGTGTCAATTTTTTCTATTTTCAACACATCAAATTGCTCCACTAGTCTGCAGTCTGCAGGATATCATACTAATTTGATGCTGACTCGTAAGTCACTAACCCAGCAGTTTCTGTTTGGTAACTTGATGGCAAATTAACAAACCTCACCAGGTTCCATAAAGCAAAATAGAACATATAGGTAAATGGAGGAAACTGCCTTTTGGATTTCGGTTTCAGTTATTTTGCTCCGACCATGTGACAGGACCATGTTTCACTTGTTTGTATGTTGAACTTAGAAGTGGGTTGAACTTTGTGGACTTTGGACATGTTGATGGTGTTTGTGGACTTTGCATTGTCCTTGTGACATTTGTTGTAGCTATATGTTGGTTATAATGAGTGGATGTGACATTTGTGGACATATATGTGATATATATTGTCTATCTGTTGGTAACTGTGATATTCTGTTATAATTGTTGTTAATTGTGGCTGGATATGCACTGAAACAAACAAAAAAAAATACTGTGGACAAGTTTTACCGAGTGTAACACTCGGTAATGGTGATGTTTACCGAGTGTTACACTCGGTAAAACAGAGAACAGAACCAAATTGGTTCTGATTCTGTTAATTTTGCCGAGTGTGCCATTTTTTACCGAGTGCCACGACCCCACTCGGATATATGTGCCATTTTTTACCGAGTGGAACACTCGGTAAATGAGTTACATGTTTACCGAGTGTTACCGGTACACTCGGTAAACTATATTAGGAAAAAAATATTTGCGGAATTGTTTTAATCATGAAAATGGTTATCTGTTTACCGAGTGCTATGTCTAATACTCGGTAAACGATGTCGTTAACGGCAAGCTTGGGGACTGACGACCGTCACGTCGTAGTTGTTTACCGAGTGCCGGCGTAGCACTCGGTAAAATTTATTCTCCGAGTGCCCCGTTAGTTGACACTCGGTAAACTAACTTTACCGAGTCGTTGTTTACCGAGTCATGTTTACCGAGTGTGGCACTCGGTAAAAAATTTACCGAGTGTTTATCCATATTTGCCGAGTGTTTGTCACACTCGGTAATTAATCAGTATCCCGTAGTGATCTGTCTAAGCATGAATAATATATAGAATGCATTGTATTTTAGTACAAATTTTAGAAATCATATTGCTCTATATTTCAAGATGGAGGGAGTATTTCATTAAAAAGAAAGCAATCACAGTACACACATCGGTAAGCCTGAGCTTACAAAAAGGACGAAATATTGACGCACAGTAAGAACTAAGAGGGCTTGCGACCATGACTAGGAGCCCGGATGGGAGGGCCTAACAATCATGGGTGCCAACGGAAACAGCCGCGCGTGGCCGGCCACCCACTGCATGCGTCTTCCATGGTACAGAAATAGGTTGCGATCAAACGAAGCAGAGCACTCTTGGGAAACAACCACTCTGAGATATAGCCTTGCATATCTATTATTAATTACTGTCAGTTTGTGGTCATATTTACTAACTAGTAGCAGTCATGTTAGGTACGGTATTGCAGCGTTTTTGTTTTATTTGCTAGTTTCTTTTGGACCCGCAATGCTCGGCTGTAAGATCTATCAGTTTCTATAGTAGTATATAGTATTTGTTTAACTTAATGAATCTCTTAAACCATGTCCCTAATTTGTTTTTTTAATCTCTAGAACTGTTTCTCGAAAACGAACGGTTGTAATCAGCTCAATCATTCATGCTGCCCTCTTCAAGGAAAATGATGGGCAGCCAAAGAGAGCATGGCATGCAAATGTAAAAGCACCCCACGCAGTTCTATATATAGCAGCCCAAGGCTAAACCAGAACAATTTGGTGCTAGGAACGTAACCATGGGTCATGTGAATGTAGTATACCAGCTCCTGCAAGCATCTCTAGCGCAACGGCTACTACTGCTCGTCCCTCTCGTCCTCGTCCTAATACTACTGCTGCACCTCGCCTCCCGAAGCCGTCGTGGCAGCAGCGAAAAACAGCAGCGACGACCGAAGCATATCCCGCCTCCTTCGCCTCCTGGCCTGCCCATCATAGGCCACTTGCACCTCGTCGGCGACCTCCCGCACGTCTCGCTCCGCAGCCTGGCCGCAAAGCACGGCGGCCTCATGCTCCTCCGCTTCGGCACCGTCCCAAACCTCGTCGTGTCGTCCTCGCGCGCGGCTCAGCTGATCATGCAAACACATGACCACGCCTTCGCCTCGCGGCCGGCTTCCAAGATCTCCAATACCCTCCTGTATGGGTCATCTGATATTGGCTTCTCCCCCTACGGCGATCATTGGCGTCAGCTTAGGAGGCTCGTTACCACGCACCTCTTCACTGTCAAGAAGGTGAACTCCTACCGGCTCTCCCGCCAAGAGGAGGTAATATTCAACACGAGTATTTTTAGATGAAGGAAGCTTTATTAAAAATAGAGATCAGACCTTTATAACAAAGACCGGGTTATTATTATTTATATGTGTCTCCATAGGTACGGTGGATAGCTCAGACCTTACGTCTAACATGAATATCCTCATCCGTGCATAGGTGCGCCTAGTGATCAAGAAGATCCAGGAGGCGGCAGCTGCGAGCAAGGAGGTGGACATCAGCGAAATGATGAACACGTTCGCCAACGATATCGTGTGTCGTGCCGTGTCAGGAAAGTTCTTCAGGGCGGAAGGGCGGAACAAGGTCTTCCGAGAGCTGATCCAGCTGAATACTATTCTGTTTGGAGGGTTCAGCCTCGAAGACAACTTCCCAGGGCTAGCGAACGTGTTAGGTTTGCTCACCAGGTGGTTTGTAAGCAACAAGGCCGACGAGGCACACAAAAGATGGGACGATTTACTTGAAACGATAGTAAGCGACCACGAGAGACGAAGAAGATCTGAGCTTGGGCATGGTGGTGGTGGTGGTGTTGATCAAGAAGAGAGTGACTTCATCGATGTGTTGCTCTCAGTTCAGCAAGAGTATGGTATCACCAGAGATCATATCAAGGCCATCTTGTTGGTTAGGAAATTATATTATATATATTCCCAATAACTTCTATTTGTTTATAATTTATATAAAAAAAGAGAATATATATATATAGATAGATAGATGTAACTAATAGCGTTTTGGACATCCAGGACATGTTTGGTGCGGGCACGGAGACTTCATCACTAGTTCTAGAACTCGCCATGGCGGAGCTTATGCGCCACCCTCAGCTCATGAGCAAGCTACAAGCCGAGGTGCGGAAGAACACACCCAAAGGACAAGAGATGGTTGAGCAAGATAACCTAGCTAGCATGCCATATCTAAGAGCCGTGGTGAAAGAGACGCTGAGGTTGCACCCACCGGTACCACTCCTGCTTCCTCACCTCTCAATGGTGGACTGTGACGTGGATGGCTACAGAATCCCCTCGGGAACACGAGTCATCATCAACGCATGGGCCATCAGTAGGGATCCGGAGTCCTGGGAGAGCGCGGAGGAGTTCGTGCCGGAGAGGTTCATGGACGCTGCCAGCGCCGCGGCCATTGACCTGAGGGGGAACGACTTCCAGTTCGTGCCGTTCGGGGCTGGCCGGAGGATCTGCCCGGGCCTCAACTTTGGCCTGGCTACTGTTGACATTATGTTGGCAAACCTCGTCTACTGTTTTGACTGGGGTCTGCCCATTGGCATGGAGGAAGAGGATATTGATATGACAGAGGTGTTCGGATCGACAGTCCGTCGAAGGGAGAAGCTCATCCTGCTTCCGGAACCACATGCGTGCGCATGTTAGAGTTGTTCCTGCCCACTGGTACGTCTCTGATGAGTGTGAGTGATCCATTATATGTGCTGTACGTGGACGATGTGGTTTCTGACACATATACGAACACGTCCATATATGATATGTATGTATGTATTTTGTAACAGCAGCTGTGCCTAGGATGGGTGCTTTATTATTTACTAAGTGTGAGTACTAGTACATTGCATGAATTATGTGGTATATAGGTTATTGGACATTGAAGTTTGCGAGCAACATGTGTATTACACTAATAAAAACAGAACTGCCAGTGTAAAAGGCCAGTGAAAATAGTGCATTTCTACTCCGGCGTAAAAAATTATCCGCCAATACAAATCTATTTACACTAGCGGCAACCTTACATGACCTGCCCTTATAAATCATTTTTCACTTGCAAATTTAGAGTGCAGGATTTTACTTTGAACTGAGGTATTATCCTCTACCTAGATTCTCCTTTCATATTTGAATTTGATGACACCATTATGTAGACTAAGCTTCTCCACTACTTATACTGCCAATGTAGCTAAGAGCTTAACAGTAGAAGGATGCCGAGAGTAACCATCCACTAATTCTTGTAACCGAGACTTTGGATCGTTAAACTTTTGTAATTTCTTTGCTTTTCGGTAATGAAATTTGATTCGTCTATGGTGGGAAAAAATGGTGTAATTAGGTAGGTTGTATTTGTAGAGTAGAAACAACAAACACCTCTTGCATCTGAAGACGTAGATGGGTGCAGCGACGTGCGCGATGGACGCCATGTGGACGTAGATGCCATCGCACGGCAGCCGTGAACGACGCCCCGACCAGCTCGGCTCGGCTCCACATCGGCCCTGCCAAACGGATGGAAATGGAAGCACTTCACACACGAAGCTCCTGGAAACATGGTGAGACAAGCGAGCAGCGTGAGGTGAAGTCCAAAATAGTGGCTTACTCGTGCTTCGTCTGACAGTGAGTGGGCCCAGACCCTTTTGCCAGGCCGGGCGGGTATGAGTAGGACGGCGAGCAGGAGCACGGGCGCTGGCCGCAACGACGAGGTGGAGCTCGGCCGCGTGCTGCATCGGTGAGGAAGTGGAGCTCGACGCGGAGCCGAGCGCTGTCGCTCCCGTGTCAGACCGCCGTCGCCGCCGCCGCCGCTGCTGTCGCTCCCGCCGCCTCATCCGCGCTTCTGTTGGGATGGAGAAGATAAGCTTCCGTGCTGGGATGGAGAACGTGGAGAGAGAAAAGGGAAAGCTAAAATAAGTAAGGAAAAAAATGAAGAAAAAGAAAATAAAAAAGAGAAAATAGAGGGGTATCCTGAATACTTCGCTAATTTGCATACCAGTACAAGCTGTTTTTATCGAACAGTACACCAAAGAGAGTTGCTTTTCGCGCCAAAGTCAAAAAGTTGATTCACCGGTGAAGCTGAACTATACTTGTCGGATACCAGATAATAAGGTACCCCAAGCAAAGATCGAAAAAAATGCTTAGACCCTAAGAACAGAACCAATGGAATAAACAAACGAGGTCTCGGTCGAAATCTCCGATTCACCCGAGACCCCGTCGCCGAAGCCCCAAGCAGGCTTAAGCGATTCTCCGACTCGCTTGAGACCGCCTCGCCGAGGCCCCTCGCCGGGGCCTCGGAAGAAGTGCCGATTCTCCGATTCGCGAGGCGGGCTCGGCACCAGCCCGTGACCGCCTCTTCGACAAACTGCTGCTCGACCGAGCGTCGCATCCAAGCGCCCAACCACTCCGGCAGCGGGCGCGATGATGGCACAAGACAAACAAGTGACCGACTACACGCGAGTCGCGTCAACCTCCCCGCCATCTGCGGCCGGCACTGAGCGGTGGTTACCACCACCGTGCGCCTAACTCCTGCGCCAAGGACATCGCCATAGCGTGGGGAGTCGAGCGGTTCTGTAGCCTTGGAATCAGCGGACCGACCGGCCCGCTCCGCTCGCCCGAGCCCCCTCGACAGGCCTCGGATTCACCGATCTTACTCCACCTCGCCGCTGGTCGCCTCGCTTCGAGACCCCGGGTAGGGCCTCTCGGACGAATTGACCTTCGCGCTCCGCCTCACCCGAGGCCGGGCTCAAATCCCCCGCAACCTCGTCGCCTCCGCCTCAAAGGTCTCTCCGGCAGTCGTCGCATCCAATTAATGCGCTCGGTGCACCACCTCGTAAGCCCACGATCGAAGTCTTGGCCGCAACAGAGCGACGGGACAACGGTCGAGATCACCTTTTTTACCATCCTCATCGACAATACAGTAATCAGATATCTCAGAGGCGACGCGTCTCGCACTATTCCGCTCGATGGCGGCCGAGACCCGTGATCCGCACTGGGTCACTTCTCGAGGCCTCGGCATGGCGAGGCCTCGGCAGCAACAGGCCTCGGCACGACCGGCCACGATGGTCACGCCGAGCCTCGCAATCCACCAAGTCAACAAATGCGCAGCATGTTACTTGCGATGGAGACCATACCGATTAGACATCTCACGGGAACTCCCACGACAACGCCATCTTGCTGCGGGAGAGTAAATACGTCATCAAATAGTCCGCTCCACGTGTAGCTCTCTTATGTACTCCTGGTTTCCTCCCTGCGGCTATAAAAGGAGGCGGCCAGGACCGTTTCTAGGGACGGCGGATAGAGTCACGAACACTCGCACGAACAACACGCCGCGATTCTGTAATTCATATCACCTCCCCTCACAGAGACTTGGGACGAACTCCTCTCTCGCCTAGCTTGTAACCCCCTACTACGAGCACCCCGGTGCAAGGAATACAAGAACATCTTTTCAGACTGGACGTAGGGCATCCATTGCTCGAACCAGTATAAACCTTGTGTCTCTTTGCATCACCATCCGGAATTGGGAGCACGCAGCACAAATTCACTAGTTGGTTAAGGACCCCGGTTAAAGAAAGCGCAAACGCCGGTTAGCTGGCGCGCGGTAGGGGCCTCTGCGTGTCGCCTTAGTCATCCCACCGATTCCGGATGGCGAGATCCCGTGCGATCGTTTTGTCTCGGGACGATCGTCTGGTTCGGGAGCCTAGAATTCATGTCTCTAGGGCACGAGTACGACATGATACTCCTCTCACCCAGAGCGCCATCAACCGACGACGACGTCATGCACCGGCAGCCCACGCGCAGACGGCGCCCGGGCCACCGCTCCCGTCAAGCTTGCCAAGCGCCACGCGGGCGAGTCCACCCTAACACCACGCAAGTACAGAACGCCGATCTATGCTCCACCGGAATCCCATACCCCACTGGCTGCATGGTGGTCCTGACCTGCGGGACCGTCGACTTAAGCCTCGGCAGGGGAAAAGGGCGGTGGTGCATGGCAATGACGCCCATCATCAAGCTCATCCGCCTCCTCCCGGAGGAGCCACAGTGGGAGCGAGAGCTGGCGACGGCGCCATCCCGTGCCCTTTCGGGCTGACCAATGTCGCCGCCTCCTACGCCACCGCCCTCGTCTCCATTCATCAACGTCATGCCCATAGCCCCATAGTCACAACTCCAATCCACCCCCACTCTAACTCCTCGGAGGAGGACGAGGCGTGGGTTGGAGCAGACTTCTCCGGGATTCGCGACCCTGAGGTGATGCGCCGCTTCATGATCACGAAGCGACCTCTTCGCTTCGGCTACTCCGATTCCGGCGGTGAGGGACGCTTACGGCCCGACTTCGTGAGTGTTTCCACATCGGACTCGGAATGCGAGCACGAGCAACGATGGAGGAAGGGGCGCCAACGCCACACCACCACGCACGGGATCCCCGCCAGCGGCGGTAGGTGTCCCCACCCTCGAGCAACTTCGACGCATAGACCTAGAGCAGCTCCGTGAGCTTCAAACCAAGGTCGAGCAAGATTGACTCCTCCTGTAGTAGCTCCGAGCCACCCTCGAGCAAGAGCAGCGGGGGCGCGGCGATGGCGGAACGGCCTGGCTGGGGGCTCGCGACGTCAACCGCCGCGTGCGATGATGAGGGGGCGAGCAACCCCCCATCTTCAATCGCGCTAGCCGAGCGTCGCTGCGACGGCGATACTGGTCCGAGCGATGCCCAAGCCCTCTACCACGGAGGGGCGACGGGTCCACGGTGAACTCCGGGGCCTTCTCGAGACTGCCGCAGTGCAGCAGGCTGAAAGCTCCGCGTCTTGACGACACGGGGACGCCTCGAAACAGCCCTCGGTGCACGACCGCCTCGACGACCAACGCGAGGCGCAAAACGGCCACCACGTGGGCAGCAGACGACGGCACCACGACCACGATGGGGCTGCCCGGGGCTACCAATTGCACCGAGGCGGTCGCTATGATAGTGGGGAGGACCGCAGTCCTTCTCCCGGGCCACCTGGCCCTAGAGTTTTCAGTAAGGCCGTCCGCAGCGCCCGCTTCCCGGCCTGGTTTCGTCAGCCAGCGAATCTCTCAAAGTACAGCGGTGAGACCAACCCCAAGCTATGGTTGGCCGACTACCGTCGGCTTGTCGGCTAAGCGCGGTGCAGACGATGACCTGCTCATCATCCGCAACCTCCCCCTATTTCTGTCAGACTCAGCGCGAGCCTGGCTCGAACACCTTCCCCCTATGCAAATCCACGACTGACGCGACTTGGTAAAGGTCTTCGTCGGGAATTTCCAGGGCACCTACGCGTGCCCTAGGAACTCCTGGGACCTCAAGAGTTGCCGCTAGGGGTCGGACGAGTCTCTCCGAGACTTCATCCGACGTTTCTCCAAGCAATGCACCGAGTTGCCCAGCGTCGGCGACTCAGAAATCGTCCAGGCATTACTCTCCGGCACCACCTGTCGAGACCTAGTCCGAGAGTTAGGCCGGAGCGTACCGACCACGGCGTTCGCACTCCTCGACATCGCCACCAGCTTCGCCTCTGGCGAAGAGGCCGTCGGGGCCATCTTCCCCAACAACGACTCCAAGGGGAAGAGGCGTGATGAGACCCCCGGGGCCTCGACGTCTCGCCCCTCCCAGAAAAAGAAGAAGGGACGCCAGGGGAAACAGGAGGTTCTCGAGGCCGGGCTCGTCA